CGCGGTTCCACCAGGTTCACCTCATCTGCATGCCCGAGGGCGATGAGAACATCTGCAAGATGTCTTCCAAGTACCACTTTGTCAATGATTACTTGTACAAGCCCATCAATGAGGAGGAGGATGGAGGCACATTGCAGTACTCTGATAGATACTACCCTGAAGTGAGTATGCACACTATGGAATTGTGCCATATTCCTGGTTGGGTGGGGAAGGGGTTTGGATGTGGAAATCTTATTGATTGAACCTTTTGAACGCTGAAAAGCAGAAAATAAAGCGTTCTGTTCATTCAGTAATTCCCATATTCAAATAACTTGATGACTTGGACCTTGTTACATTGAACCCCCCTAAGTTGAATACCTCCCTATAAGTCAACTTTTGTTTAGTCCCTTTCTGTATTCCCTTAGAAACAATGCATTAAAAAACTCCCTTAGTCAAAGGCTTTTCTGCTAAAACCTCCATAAGTCAAATTTTTGAAGCCTTTAGTTTACTATTTTATTGAAACAGAAAAAATTGAATTGTATATATGCTTTGACAGAATATGATAAGATAAATTGGGCAAATGAACCCATGCCTCCGAGTTGAGTCCCCTTTCAACTCATTTTAGAAGCAACTCAAGGCCCATAATATCACAAGGTACAATTTAGTGCAATTCTTCAATGTATCCCACAATAAAAATGCTTGATTCCTTTTTATAACAAATAAAAATGATCAAATAAGTCAGTGATCCAAGTCAACTTTTATTTCTTGTACAGTTGAACCTCTGTAAGTCAAATTTCTCATGACCAGTGAAGAAATACAATTTAGGGTGGTTTTTACTCAGAGGTTTTGATTTTGGGGGTTTCCAGTTGAGAATAAAACAAACAATTTTGTTGTGAGGAGAAAAAAAAAGCATTGGAATTCATAAATGAGCATACTCTGGGCCTAAAAGTGCTCCTTAATGAGTTTACAGCACCTCTTGCTGAACTTGGAGGCAGGGGTTCATTTGCTCCAAAACTCTTTCACTTCCTTTCAAGATGCATCAAGTGATTTGTTTTCATGATATTATCTTTCATATTTCAAGGAATTAATAACCAGAAGGCCTAAGAAAATTTGACTTACAGATGTTTTAGAGAAAAAGACTTTGTGTTAGCAAGGTTTTTGATGCATTGATTCGGAGCAAGGATTCAGGCATGGACTTGAAAAAAATTTGACTTGAGGAGGTTTGACTTATTGTAGTTCACCTGTAAAAGGTAAAAACAAACAAATAAGTCAATGATCTAAGTCAATGCTAACTTTTATTGGAAAAGTAAGAACAGAAGAATGTCAAAGATCAAAGTAAATTTTAACTTACTACATAAAAATTAAAGAAGGAACAAAGTCTATAGAATCAAAGACCATTTTAAATATGTGTAAAAAAGTGATAATGAACAAATAGTAAGTCAGTATTAATCTGTTAATTTCAAATTTTAATGATATAAAGTACAAATTGATGAAGTCAATGTGCAATCTAGCAAATATTTGGGCTCAAGACTATGCATATAGCAAAGGCATGTCACACGTCCTAACCTGAGTGCTGGGGAGCTATTTTTGCTGTGACCCCACAGAGTAGGTGCACACCAGGGTCACAACTGGAGCATATGGGATATTCTGGGGGTACAAGTGTGCACTCCTGTAGAGGAAATTTTGCTACCATTCCAGGGTTACACGTGGTGCACAAATGTGACATATCAGAAGAACTTTGGTACACTTCAGGTGCACAGCAGGGTCACTGTGTAGAATTACAAACAAATCCCCAGTGTGCACCAATTTCCCCACTCGGGATATAATGAACAAAATAACTTATTCATATGGTGTACAGTTGAGAATTTTTACAAATCTTCATTTCTTATTTCACCCTGGATGTGTATATACTATGAATCACAATCACAGTACTATGAAACACAAGTGTGAATACATGATTCATCCGTCCGTCCAAAAAAATAAAAAAATAAAGGGTTACCACGCTGGCGCCAACATGGAGCTGGATGGCAACGTGAGCCCCCAGGTGCAGCAGCGAAAGCACAACGCTCAACACAAACGACCATCATCAGGAACGAATCAACAACGCCGACGACCAGCGGAATACTTTGAGGACCCTGCAGAAGAAGCAGAAGAAGAAGAGCCCAACAAATTCAGTTTCCAGCAAGCTCCAGCTTCCCCACGTCGCTCACAACAAAAGTCGCAACAACTTTCTTCCCAGCAGGAATTCCTCAGGGCCAGTCAGAGCCGGACCAAAGCTGGCCCTAGTCCGGTTCGTTGATGGCCAAATATCATATTGGCATTATTTCCTCAAATTAGTTTTCTTTGTATAGTATTATTATTTCACTGAAAGTATTTTGTGCCAGTTGGAAAATCTGGATCATCTGCTAATTAATGCCAACATCAGGAAATATATATTAACTATAAAGGGAAGAAATTTTCTGAGTTTTTGACTGGGGTGTAATAATAATAATAATAATAATAAGCATTATCACCAGACCCAAAAATAATCTCAACTGCTGCTGAGCTATTGAAAAAATGGCTCACCATGCTTGTATTAAGTATTTATGAAAGCATGATGATGAGGTGTTTAATTGAGAAAGGGTAAAAATTAACTGAAGAGAGGGATCAAGGTTGCATTAATAAGCATAATTATCATCACCAGAAAATAAATACAAGGAATGCTTCAAGAACCAGTCAGTAACATTTGGGATCAGAAATTCAAGACTGTGTCTGCCTTTAGTCAGGAAATTTCTACCTGGGGAATCTATTAACATTACTCAAATAAGTTTGTTACCACATGTGCTCCAATAAGTGCCTTGGCATTCAATTAAATTTTTTTAATTTTCCTCCTGGCCTTTAATAGAGACTGGCCTCTATATTGGATACTGGCAGGATCATTTTAAACAGTTACAACTATGAAACAAGATGAAAATAAAAAAGGGGGATCACAAGGGGAAACTAAGAAAAGTAAAAAGGATTTCACACTGATTTTTGGAAATGAAGCAGGAATGCATCAGCAAAGGTCTAATGGCATTTGTGGTGCTGTTGAGTGTTCAAGACTAGATTATGGAAAGAATTATCAAGATCAACAGATAAATAAAAATCTTGGAATTTTTTCACCTCTATTCTTTGACCAAGCCATTATTATAGAGGCCAGCTAATATACTCCCTTCAGCCAGCCCTTTGAGAGTCAGTGAGCATTAGAGACAGGCATCTTATTGGAGACCAGGCATTTATTGGCACATCAACCCTTGGATGGCAGAGGGTTCATCCTTCCCATTGTACAGCAGAGTCAGGATATTTTTGGGGGGTGGCACATTTCAGTTTGACCCAACGTCACTAAAATGCTCCCAGGTTGAGAACACGTAAGTCAAGAAAAATCCGTGAGGAAAATTTTATATTGTTTTCAGGAATCTTCCATGCTAAATCCTGTGTTATAGGAATGCTTGAAAAGATGCCACCCAGCAAGGGATTTTTGAAAATTTTCATTCAAAATTGTCTGCATGAGGATTAGAAAAAAAATATTTGAATTTTCTCCAAACTTAGACATTGGTACATCAAAAGTTGGATATTTTAAATTTCCATGCAGTGCTCAGCAGTGGCAAACAATTTTTGCAAAATATCTTGACTTTGCCACCCAGTCAAGAGTTAACTGTACAATAATACAGTAGCCCTCTGCCTAACAGACCTCCTGCATAAGGGATTTTTGCCTATAAAAGACCAGGTCTGCAGACATTTTTTCCTCCTGCCCAACACACAAAATTTTCCAAACAGACTGCCGGTGGTTTAAAATAAATGATGATGATATAAAAGTTTCAATTTTTTTATATAATTCAATTTGTCTGGAGGACTTTTTACCTAACAGACATATTGTCATCTGTTGCACAAATTAAGTCTGTTGGACGGGGGAATTGACTGTATGCAACTGAAATTGAGAAGTTTGTTATATAAAATGATATTGTTTCAGAATGTACTCTGTAGGCTTTTCTGCATAGACTTACTCGCCCTCCAATTGGGGTGGGGGGGGGGTGTTAGTTTATTGTTATACTGAAAAATATTTTTATTGGTATTTTTTGTAAAAAATATTTTACACTTACAACAAAATTACAATATTACAATAATACTAATAATAATAATAATAATAATAATAATAATAATAATAATAATAATAATAATAATAATAATAATAATAACAATAATAAGAATAATAATAATGATAATAATAATAAAAACAATAATTACAATATTTTTTACTGCCAGGTGAGTGATGCAGCAGCTGCCCCAGAGGACACTGCAGACGAGGACAGGTACGAGGACGAGGAAGAAGACCCAGAGGGCGCCACTGGGGACGAGGCGGCCCAAGACCAGGAAGCCCCTCAGGCCAGGAGCCAGTCATCCCCCTCGCAACCCGACCACGCCGCCTTCATGTCCCCCGACGAGATCAACGTGGACCTGGCCCAGAGGCGACCTCTGGGTTACGCCGACCAGCAGCAGCATGATGGGGAACCCGGGGACCATCAATAATTAATATCACAATAATATCATAAAAAAAGACGGGTTCCCATTCATTTTTGGGAAACTCTCGGTTGAAACAATAATATACAGGTGGACTCTCGGTCTCTATACAACGAAATTCAAGGGACCATTCCAAAAAATATATATATTCGTAGTAGTGAGATTTTCGCAGTATAAGAACGCCGGTAACAAATAATCGCGGGGAGAGAACCCGATGCTGGGACTGGACAAAATTCTTTATACAGAGAATATCGTTGTAGCGAGAGTTCATTTGTATGATATAATTATTATAAAGCAGTTGATCTGAAGATGAGAGTCACTATAAAACTATATGTTTGCTGCCAAAAAAAAAAGGCCTGAAATTTCGCGAAAAAAATTCTCTAAAAATTAATAGCTATGGAATAATTTTCTATGAAAAAATGCTGGGACAAAAAAAAAATCCGTTTTAAAAAGATTCAGGGCTTTTACATCAAGAGCATTTCTTTCCAAATTTATAGGACAAATGTTCGCATTTTAAGCGTTGCATAATTAAATAATTACGATTTTCAGTAATTGAGCTCATTATATATATGAAAGAAATATTGCAATGAAAAAAGGGAAGCATGGCTTTAAAAAAATTGCGAACGAAAAATCATCATTTTCTCTCAAAAAGTTTCCAATTGGAATAAAGAAAAAATTCAGCGCTCTCACAATAAGCAATTTCAATTGCAATTTTTGAAAATATACCTGGGGCTTTCTACTCTTGAATTCCTTCGCAAATTTAAGAGAAATTGAATACTAAGAGAAATACTAAGAGAAATTGAGAGAAATTTTTTTGAATAAATAAAAAAAAGAACTTTTCTGAAAATCTTGAACAAAGTGACGTTGAATTTCAAATCCAAGAACTTGAAATCCTTGGAACATCCTCTGATTTAAAAAGAAAAGCCTTCTCAAGAAAATTAATCACGACTGTTTTCAGCATAATTTATTGAATATACCTATATAGTACATCTCATCTGCACTTGAAGTAATTTTTTAAAATAAAAATTTAAAACACAGCGTCTGATGATGTTTTTTCTGTTTTTCCGCTAAAAAGTAAAATTATAAGTTGACTTTCTTTTTAGGGGAGAAACCTTTCCAAATTTATTTTCAAAAAAATATTTTTCTTCATTCAGAAACTGGTCTTGAATCAAATACAGTTGAAGAGTGGCTTGTCAATAAAAACAATTGTTGATTATAATAACTTTTAGCCTGCTGTAAGTTGAATGAATTGTAATTGAAATCATTAAGCTTATGAAATTGTTACCATGCTTTGATTTATTAAGTACAGAAATAAATTTAATCGGGCTTTTTTGTCACAACATATTTTTAAATTACTGCATCTGAAAAAAATTGAATGTCCTAGAAAAATATTCACCCTTCACTTCCAAAGAAGGATCTCGTTCCAAAAAAAAAAAAAAGAAGAAAGAAAATACTTGAGACACTGCAAAGTGGTGATAGAAAAGCAACGAAAGTATTACTGTTTGTCTTCGCTTTTTTTGTCGTTATTGTTGTTTCAATGAAATTTTTGCAACTGGGAGTTTCTCCAGCGCATCCAGTTGAACTTATTGTTTTTTTTAGTGTGCTGGGTATTTATCAACCGATGTATCATGATTTGCCTTTTGTGAAGTTGCGGAAAATACACCCATTCTTGGAAATTTTCACTCAATTTGATCTGAAAATTCATTTCTCTGGTGATTGTTTATTGAAATCATGCTGTAAGTAAAACATAAATCCCATAATTACATACATAACTTGTCATATGCAGATTTTCAACTAATTGAAAAATACATCTAGATGCAAGAGACATCTGTGTACTGAAGAAAATTGTAGATTTATAGACAGCCTCCAAGCAATCTAAATTCCGAGTAAAAATTTCCATTCATGGCTGCAAAAATGAATAGAGCAAGATCATCATCTCTCTTTGGATGGTCTCATCACAGGTTTAATGAAAGAAAAAATCACACACACAATCACCAAATCTCACATGGTAAAGTAAAAATGTGCTTACAGAAGAAATATATAGAAGTAAAATATACAGAAGTAAAAATGTGCTTTCTCATGTCCAGCATTTCAAAGAGATAGAAATCAGCTTATGAAAGATTTAAAATTACTGAAATTCAATGAAGAGACACTTTCGGAACTCTTAAAGGATCAAGAAAATTTTTTGGCCTCATATGATTTCTCATCAAAGATTCTCTCTAAATTGTTCATTGAACTAAAACTCATACAGAAACAGGCTGAAGACCTTGTGCTTTA